GTTTCTATTCACCCAAGAGTAACCAAAAGTCAGAATAATATGATTGCAATTCTGCATGTTCATGAACGACAACATATTTGTTTGTAATAAGCAAGTCTCTCTTGTTCTATAATGAGTGATGAAAGTGTGTGGTAGAGAAGAGGATGGGACATTTTTAGAAGCAAGTGGAGAAACCGGTTCCTTGTCACATGGACATTCTTTAAGACGAAAGTTCAGTTGACTTATCCATTTTCTAATATATATAACCTTCTGAAATATGTATGTATATATATGGGTGAGTACGTATATGTACAATATATGTCTGTCCACGGAACATGAAATCACTAATAAGATGGTTTACAAGAGAAATGTAGTTCTCCTCCTTATCAAATAGGTTTCAGTTTAGATCACTTTGTGGGAGAAGCTTCCCTGAGAGTTAACTTCCAATTTCCTTGTTGTAAGTTAAAAAAAAGCACATATGTTGGCCTGACCATGATAGTTGTTTCTTACGTTGTAATGTCTTGTCATCTTAATCTCTCATTCTGATGTTATGTTTTGCTATGTGGTTAAATGCACTCAATCTACGAACTCTGATACCTTAGAATCTGGTGCAATACTTGTGTTTCCTTGTTGAATTTAAGAAATGAGATTTCTTTAATGCTTAATGGTTAGTACTCAAGATTTCATACTATTCCATTACGTGGCCGGAACCAGTTTTTCATAATTGGGGCCTCCCATGCCCATAAGTATAATGTAGTCACTAAACATGTGGGTATATTGTTGTGTTCTCAATGCCATACGTTTGCTTCATGTTGATGATGTTGTGCATAAGGCAATGTTATGCCAGGCCTCTAAGGCTTCTTTACTATTCCTCATTAATATTTTGGTGAATATTTCATTTATTTGTAAAAAAACATATTTAATTTCCGTTTACCCCTTAATTACATCCAGCTATGGTATGTGCTTTCAAAGACTTTGGCTGAGGATGCTGCCTGGAAATTTGTGAAGGAGAAGGGTATTGACTTGGTTACAATTAACCCTGCAATGGTGATAGGTCCTCTGTTACAGCCAACACTTAATACAAGTGCTGCAGGCAGTTTTGAATGTTATTAAGGGTAACGTTTCTTTATTGGTGCATCGAATACTTCTTCATTTCAACAAGTAAAACGTTTTCTGCTCAAGAAGCTGGAAGAAAGACTAAATGTCTTAAATAGTACATGAGATGATAATATAAAATGGACGTTTCTTCATGTTGAGTCAATGTAATGCTCTATGGTGGCCTTTTGTGCCCCATCTTCGTCTACTGTATATATTTCAAAAATAGCATCAAGTTTTGTCAGTTATCTCTTTCCTATAGCGTCCCGACCAGAGGTGTTCTATATTTGTATCTGCAGTATCTTAACTGGATAGCGTTTAGTGAAACAAACAGTTTTCAGTTAAATATATTAACAAAAAAGTTCCAACTATTAGTCTAACACTTGGTGTGCTCATTCTCCATGAAGTACCTGATTATTTCTTCACTTCTTTGTGTGATGCAGGAGCTCGAACATTTCCAAATGCAAGTTTTGGATGGATTAATGTTAAAGATGTTGCCAATGCACATATTCAAGCATTTGAGAGTCCTACCGCTGGTGGCAGATATTGTTTGGTGGAGACAGTTGCCCACTTCTCAGAAGTTGTGAGAATTTTACGTGAGCTGTACCCTACTTTGCAACTTCCAGAGAAGTAAGCTTTTGCGTCCCAGCCAATTTAAATTTGCTGGTAACAGTCACTCCATTTCCACACTAACACTGTCTCATGATTCGGATAATAATTGGTTTTATTTTATTTGTCTTCTTTTATACTGAATTGTATTTTACGACAAAAAGCAGCATTGCCGTATTTCGAACTTATATGGTAGTTTTGGTTTTACCGGTTATTTTACATTCACAATGAGTATAGTGTTTCAAATACTACAATATGATCCTCTTTCCCATCCTTCTAACTTTTCAATCACGCTGAAGTTGAAGTTGCTGCACTTTTAATGCCTACAGATGCTCTTCGTTTAGTATTGCATACCTTGTGTCGAATAAGTTTGATTAAAGCACATGGAATTGTTGCTAAATTTTTTCACCATATCATGGGGCTCAAAGCAATAGAAATTTTCATAATCCTTCGTTTTCTCGTGATCTGCAGGCTCACATCTTCGTTTTATGAAAATTAGAAGTAAAAACATAAATTCCTAGCATGACCGGCATTGTTCTTGACAGTGCGTGTTGATTCCTACATTCTTCGTTTCATATGCTTTTAGAAACTATCTCAGCCCGCCTCATTTTCCAGGTGGTTTTAGTGCGGTGGTTTCGTGGAAATTAATTGTGTTATTTCCCCTTTTCAACTGGCATTTCCAGGTGTGCGGACGACAAGCCTTTTGTGCCAACATATCAGGTCTCCAAGGAGAAGGCGAAAAGCTTGGGTGTCGAATTTATTCCACTAGATGTTAGCCTCAAGGAAACAGTTGAAAGCTTGAAGGAAAAAGGTTTTGTCAGTTTCTGAGTCATTTCAGTACAGTGAAGATCTTTGCAATAAATTCAGTCGCGGTGAAACATATTCGCTGCTTCCGGCCAGACGAGAAGGAACCATAGAGTCCTGTCTATGTTTCACTTTGTGTTTCCGGTGTAGTGACATGCACTCCAGCTTCGTCTTTTGGTTTGAGACTTACTCTCCAGCTTGTTGGTTCCTATATATATCACCAATGTGTCTGCAGAATAGAGGAAATGGAGTATTGAATAAGAAAACCCCAAGTTAATTGTTTTGGTAATTAATGTTTATTGGATTTATTATTTTAGGGTTGAATGTCTCTTAGTGACGAATCTGTCATTTTAGATGAATAAGAAATACAATTTTTTTTTTTTGTTAAAAAAAATATGCATTATTTGATCAATTTGTACATTTTGTTGAAGGAAAAATTTAGATAATACTTTACGAACATTTCACATATCAAACTAATTTACTTTAATCTAAGGGTTAAAATTGTTGTTTAAAGCCGTCTCATTAAATGTTATATGCCTAAATGATACATCCAAGGAACCACCACAGGGTGACCCAATGGTTAAGGATGAATTTCAAGCCTGTATTCCACACGGCATGTCCTAGCGCTAGTGAATCACACGATTGTGGCCAAGGAGAGGCTGAAATGCTCTCTCAATCCTCCTGGCCCCCATAAGGGTGGACTATCGTGGCAAAGCCATCAGCTGATCCCTTTCTCTATTACATATTCCTTAGACATTGTTTTTTTTTTTTTTTTTAGACATTGTTTTTTTTATTTTATTTTTTAAACAATGTCTAAGGAATAAGGAACATGTAATAGAGAGAATGTAATCTAAAGAAGTTAGGTTCAAGAGACATTTCTCTTTCATGCACATATCCTAAAACATTCTTGATCATTGACAATCTGGTAAGATTAATACATATTATGTCTTATATCAGATAAAGAATGATTAGCTTGAATCATTGCTGTGAAAGATACCAAGGCAAGTTTGTAGGTGCTCAATATAGAGTTAGTTCACTGAACACAATCCATGAGGAATTCTCATACTCATGTCATATGAGAACTCATTAGTTAGGATAATACAAAGTAGTCCTTCAACCTGAGACACCAAGGTTTTCTTGTAGATATGTTTTTTAACATTTGATGATGCGTCATAACCACATGGTTTGCTTAGTGCATTGTTGGATCGCTGATTTATTCACAGAGGCAGGTGAGTGTACAATAAATGATCTCTAACCTTCAAATTGTTAAAGGGAGAGTACTCTATGATATGATTCAAGAGTCTTTGGGTAGAGTACATGAATGTGATATGTGATTAAGAATATTGAAAAAAGAAGGACCATATTGTATTGCAATTCCAATTGAATAGATTCTCCGCCTCCTTAGCTCAGCTTAATTATCCATGATATATTGCTAAGTGTCACTCATGGCTTGTGGAAGCCTTAAAGATTTGCAATCACTAATCTTCATTAAAGGTAGAATTGAAAGGTAGTTTCAATTCACAATCAATTAATAAGAGTTTTAATCTCCCACCATCTCGCTAATTGAACCGAATGTATCGTATACAATGTAAGGTAGAGATTGAATAATACAATGGAGTTAAGTAAGTACAATTAAATGGATTAATTATTTATGTCTAGGATCAACTAATAAGTTAATTAATCAAACAAATAAATTCGTATTCAAGCTGTCAAACCTATTAACTTAAGTTATATGACAACTTAAAATCAAATGGCCCAAAAGTTTTGTCAGACCATAAATTTATGGGCCCATCCAAGTCTGGTTAGGTTAGGTGGACTATGGACATTGAAACATGGACTCCGTTGTTAGGAAGCTTCCAGTATACCATCTGGCTTTCGGAAAATTTATGCAACCTAGGAAGTATGCATGGTTCACATGTCCTATTTTACAGTGTTTGTATCAGACCAAAAAGAAAGAAAATACAGTATAGTTTTTGTACAGCTGTATTTTACGATGCATTTCGAAACTAGAAGAAGTGTGCATGCTTCACAAGTCCTATTTCTTCGTTGCTTTTTTTTTTCCTCGTTTAAAGACTAGTAAAAACTTTAATTAAAGATTACTACTACCCAAAAAAAAAAAAAAAATTCAAATATATTATGATGACCCATCTAAAATTCCCATCTGGATAATGTATATCGTACGCTAATTTAGATAAGTATTTAGCAATACAAGGGGCCGGTAATCTCATTTGTGTGATATCTATCATACGACGACCAATTGAAACGCCATCAATTAAAAATTATTATACAAGTGATTATTATCGTTAAAATTCATTTTCATAAGTATATTCTCCAATAACCAACCAAAACTGTTATACACACACGACAATTATCATAACAATTCAATTTCGAAATATATTATCCAATGACGAATCAGAGCTATAGCTAGGGTTTCATCTCAAAATATCTAGAAAGCCGGAGTCTGTTATATAAATTAGTTTCCGTGTACAACTCTTCCACAAAAGAAAATTTTCTCCACAAGAAAAATTAAAAGAGAGAATTTGTCAGTCATACTTGCGTCTCTGTCAATGTCTTCTCCCTCAGAGAGTCCAACTATGGAGCCTGTTGAGCAAAGTCATCCGGATCACAAGGCTTCTGTTACTATTTTTACTCAACAGGTGGCTTCTTACAGCCTTAGCCCTAACAAGCAATCACCTGCACAAGGTGATCAAGGTCTATTCACTCCGACGAGCGAGACTGGTGTTTCTTTGACAACCAACGTGTCAGCCGCCGCCGGCGGCACAGATCATGAGCTTTTGGAAGACGAGGCAAACAGTTTGCATAACAACCTGATAAGGGATCAAGATGATTTTTTCAATTCCTTCCCACCTGGCTATAGGTTCAACCCATTTGATGGCGAACTTATTGTGCATTATCTCATGAAAAAGGTCTTGGATCAGCCCTTGCCGCCAAACCGGATCTTTGAAGTTAACCTATACCGCTACAATCCCGAAGTGCTTGCTGGTATTGTATATGTTCATAAGTATATATGGTTCAATTATGTTTTGCATTGATAATCTTTTGAATAATACTATATATGTGTGAGAGATATTTTATGAACAAATTTTGCCTACATCGATGTTATTTAGCACTGCTTTGTTGTCCTTTACTTGTTTTAGCAAAGGTTTGATACATAATTGATTAAAGGTCCTTATATTACTACTTTAGTTAAAGTAAAGATTAATTACTATCTTCATGTTATTTTTGCTTAATTTGTTTCTTTTGTTATACACTATTTTTATTAACACATCAAAATTGTTATATATATATATATATATATATTCTTGTTTGTTGGTGAAACTTTTAGATGATCAGAATTGATTACCATGTAATAAATCTGTAACTGTTTGTGTAAAACAGAAAAATATGAGAAATATGGGGACAAATGGTATTTTTTTACTCCAAGGGACCGGAAGTATCGCAATGGAAGTCGCCCAAAGAGGGCAGCTGGGGATGGATATTGGAAGGCGACCGGAGCTGACAAGGAAGTGAAGTCATTTGATGGAGCTGTTGTTGGATCGAGAAAGGCTCTGGTTTTCTATAGGGGCAAACCCCCAAAGGGTGACAAAACCAACTGGATCATGCATGAGTTTAAAGTCAAGGATTCTCCTGTTCGAAGCAGAAGGGGTGAGAATGACATGAGGGTACGTAAATTCTTATTCTTCTATATTAGTTGGGTCGACACGTGAACCCTCAGTTCCGTCTTAATATTTAACTAATAATTTGTCAAATTTTCATTTTAGCATTTTAATATGGTACAGTTCACTATTTTGAATATATAAACATCGTACAATTTTAGACCTGCATTGCATATATATTTTCAAATGCATGTGCCAAATAAAGGACTCATATCAAAAGTCAGAATAATGAAGAAACATGGATTCCTTGTTTTAAATTTGGGGTGCTTACTTTAATTATATTTGTTTTCTTGCAGTTGGATAATTGGGTACTCTGTAGAATTTATAAGAAGGATGGTAACAATGGCAAAAGATGTGAAAGTCGAAATCATGCTGAAATACATTCTCCATTTCCGCATAGAATAAATGACGAAAGCATGGAGATTGAGATGAGTGGAGATATTGTTGATCCTTTACCTGAGTATGATCCTGCACTGGAGTATGACCATAAATACTCATATATACCATATCCTCTTATGGCATCTCAGCCAAATATTTCCTGTGGGCTCCCAGTTAACATGATTAGCAATAATCGAATTCAGTCTGTTGAAGCAGCCTCTGTGAATGCTGGGAGCTGCTATGCAAATATGGGGTACTCGCAACCAATATGCGTTAGACCTCCATTGATGTCTTCTGAGAGTGTTCTCGGGCCTTACAGATATATAGATGAATCAACTATTCTTCAAGATGACATGATATTCGGCATGAAGGGGTTTGAACATAGCCTTTACAGTACAAATAATTATGCAGGGCAATTCTCAGCTTTGGATAATGTTTTTCCTTATACGGAATAACATCCCATCATTGATCGATGGAACTCATCAACTTTTGTTGCTATCATCTGCTTTTGCTATGAATTTTAGGGTTTACGGTCGGATTTAGCTAGTCAGTTAGTTTTTGGAACGTGTTTGTTAGTAGCTCTTAATCGTCTAACGGAAGTTTATTAAGGTTTATATTGCTCTACTTGGATTTATCTATGATTAAAGTACTTTATTTGTTTTTATAGTACTAGCTAGTAACTGATTATTTGCTATGAATTATGAATTCCGAATGTAAAAACAAATTTTATGTAAAAAATATCAAGGGAAGTAGCCCGTCCTTTGTTGTGTAATTGGTTTACATATTGATCACCAGAATGCAATAATTGTATGGGCAGGAAATTATATTCATAAATGAATTTTTGACATTGTGTCTCATAGTCGTTGAGACGGGCGAAAGTCACCTATATGAATTTTCTGCCCATGTTCGGCACTTAGTGTTCACCATCAGGGAGCTAGCCTTCTCGACACCTACTATTGTTCTAGCTTCTGTTCGGTTGCTAAGACAAATGGAAAAGAAAAAGTGTACATATGAAGTTTGAATTTCACTGTTTCGCTCTGTCAGTTTGCTCTAAGGGTTTCGAAAGTTGAGGTATTAATTTTTTATTTTCTTTAGCGATGTCTTCTTGCATGAATTCTATATCATTAATTATCTGCTCTTTAATTCTTGTTTTTAGTTTTCTAGTTATTTGTTTGCTTGCTGGGAAAATGAAGGTGAAAATGTAGCTGCCTAAATAATTGGCATTCAACTCTGTTATACGGTGATTTTTCTCTTTAAAAAATTTATTCGATTTGAAAACTGTTTAGTTATTCATATTGTCTAAAATAAACCAACAGCAAATAACAAACCGTCAATTTCATTTGATTCATAATAGAGAATAACTTTGTTTTTTTTTTTTCAACCCAAGAAAATGTCCTTTTCCTCCTTCGTAGAATGTAGAAATGCTATCGATGCTATAAACTAAGACTCAACAGAGGTTTTATATACTTCTAATTAGACCTAGCATTCATATATATCGTGTTTTTTATGTTCGTGTTATATCCGATATCTTAACGGACCGTGTCGTGTAACACTCGTTAAAATATATGGGTAATATGACTCGGCCCGAAATCGACCCGTTGATATTATCAGGTAATATGACTCGACCTATTACCTGTTAAGAAAAATATATTTTAAATCAATAAATAATGAAAATGAAAAATATAATGATAATACTAAGTTAGTATATACATACCACATTGTCACATAAATATTACTACAAAGCATAAAATTTAAAAAAAAACAAAAAACATTTGTCTTTCAAGTATTATATACCCCAAAATAAGAGCCTAAAGAAAAAACATTAGTTCATGCTACAAAATACCAAATATTCAAGGATATGCAAAATGAAGGAAGTTGCATTTTAAGGTTGAGTAATCTTGCACGTTTTTTACAATAAAGCCCCTCAATTTTCATTAATTGCCAAGGGAAATGGTATTGGAACTTTAACTTGATATATTGTCTTTAAGGGTTATATTGATGATGTTTTCATTAAGGCTTTCCACATTAGCACTCTCTTCCGCATAAACTAAGCGTCAAAACTCAAACATTATAAACCATTCAAACTATGGTTTTGCACTCAAATAATTATTATTGATTTTATTAATTTTGCACTCAAATAAAAAATACTATTCATGAGATTTGGAGGGTTTTAAAATTCTAAACGACCAACCATCGTCTAAGCATAGAGGATGCAATCACAACCATTTATATATGCTTTGACATTTTTCATACTTGTACATTAATAATTATGAATTTTATATATTTTGAACTCCCTTAAAAAATACTATTCGTGAGGGTTTGTATGTTTTTAAAAATTCAAATGATGATGTACCCATCCTCAAAGCATAGAGAATGGAATCACGAGCGTTTGCATTTTTTTTTTTTTCACATTTTTCGCACTTGTAAATTAATTATTATAACTTTTTTAATGTGTTCGGTATTTTTAAATTCATTGATATTTTTTTAATCTCACACTTTGTCTATAGTATACGGTAAAGATAAACAAATAAATTAAACTTAAAATTTTAAAATTTATATAGAATAATAATACAACAATACATATTTAATATGCAATATTTACATATTCACAATAGCTATTGTATTCTATGGTAAGTTTTTTTTTTTGTAGTTTAAAAAATTAAATCATCAAAATAACCTTTTTCTTATCATGTCGAAACAGGTTACATGCGCGTCACTCTCGTGTAAACCTGTTAAGGACTCGTTATTAACAGATTCTTATTGTGTGATCCAATAACGACCCAATTAGTTATCGTGTTGACTCGAAACCTTTTATTTTTCGTGTCGTGTTAACAGGTCATGTAAGAAATTGACAGGTCTACTTCTATCGGTAACATACATGGAAAAACTACCGTACGATGGCAGATAAATGCAATATCAGTAAGATAAATCCATCCTAATCCACATCAAAATTATGAGTCCGTCATTGACCACCTATGTTAAAGAAATGGCCAATGTGGTCAACAAAAAATAGAACAAATAAAGTTAACGCAAGTTATTCACTTATTTCATACTCATCCCACACTCATCTGAATTATGAGGAAAGGTCAATAAGCTTCACGTTGTACTAAAAATAAGTGCGGTATTGAAAGTCAATTCTGATGAGAATTTAACTCAAACACATCTTTTGGCGAGAGACAGAGGAACAATTTTATTAACAAGTTGATAGCTTGTCGATGAAATCCTTCACCTCCTTAATAAAAAAGGAAGACTCCTTTAGCTCAGGAAAAACATAAAATCCATGAAACGAATTTGGGTACTCGATCAAGTAAGCTTGTATCCCCTTTTTCTTCAATCCCTGGTAGTACATCTTTTGCCAGTCTTGTAACGGATCGAAACCTCCCATGAAAACAATCGTAGCCGGGAACTTGACCCCCAAGATACCGCTTGACTCTGGCCCAAACACGTTCACCACCGCGTGGTCCCTATTCGATCCCTCCGGCAGAAACGCCTTCCAATACCAGTCAGTCTGCTCCAAAGTGATCGCCAAGCCCTCTTTTGCAAGCCTTGTTTCCGATTCGGTCCTTTCTTTCCCGCCAAAAAATGGCTGTATCGCTATTAGTCCCATCACCCTCATCTGGCAAAATTCATGGTCGCTCGTCTTGATTACCACGTGGTGGGCCAGGTTGCCGCCGGCGCTGTCTCCGGCGAGGAAACACCGGGTGATGTCAACGTTGTTGAGATCAAGACCCTCAATTCTTGTTGTGTCAATGAATTTGAGGACGTCCATGCCGTCTTCGTATTGGGAAGGATACCGATGCTCCGGCGCATGGCGGTAGTTGACGGAGATGATGACGGCAGGGAGTTTGGTGGCGAGACGTTTGCAGAGGTCGTTGTAGGGTTTTGAGTTGGCAGAAAAGAACACGAATCCACCACCGTGGAAGTAGATAACAAGTGGAAGCTTGGAGGCAGGGTCGGTGGTGGTGGGGACGTAGAGGCGGAACCAGAGGTTGCGGGAAGGGTCCACCATTACGTCGGACGTTTTGACCGCGTTGTTGGGTTTGTCCGAAGGGGAGGCTTTGAAGTCGAATAGGCTCATAAGACGGCGGTTAACAGTGCCATTGGAGCGGCGAGTGGCGTCGATGACGGTGGTCAGGATAGAGATTAAGAGACGGACCTTGCATGGAAGGTTCGGCGATATGGGGTTGTTTTGGGCCATCTTGCTCTTTCTGTCGGTGTATGCATGCATGTATGTTTTTCCCGTTGGTTCTAAACTTAATTTATTCAAAGGACATGGGGGTGTTTTGGGCCATCTTGCTCTCTTTAAGTTGAAAAGAACAATGATAATTAGGGATTAAAGATTCACATGCATCAAATTACATCACATTTGATAGTTGTAGTAGAAACAAACCTGGCGGTTGTCTTGTTATTTTAGGTGTTTTTGGTCGATGTAATCAAAGGTTTCTTGCGATGAAAGCCTCAGTTGTACCGTTATCCAAAATGCCGTCCAAAATCACCTTGTGAATGACGCAATTTTCAGCACCATTTCATATCGATCAAAATACATTTACTGATATTCCTTTTTACTATTAAGTGAGAGATTTTAAGCTCGAATCTTTGTATCCACAAACTCACAATTTATTCTCCCACTCTCTTAGTGTGAAATATACCAGGGTATAAAAAAAATAGAAAACTTCATTTTAATCCTTGGCAAAGATGATTTAAGATCAAAATCTAATTTTAATTCCTCATGCATTAATCACCTCATTTATTATTATATTTTGATGTTTTAATTATTTCTCTTTTTCTTCCTAATTTTAATGTACTAATTTTATTTCATTATAATTATAATTTTCATTTCATTCATCATAATCTATTTTGTTGTAAACATTTAGATAAACTAACTTTTGTTTTACAATATATTTCGATATACTTTGTCTTCTTCATTTAGGTACATTACATTCATTATAATATATTTCGGTGCATACATTTAGGTACACACATTTCAGTACATACATTTAGATACAAAGACTAGGTACATTAATTCAATATAATACATTTCGGTATACACATTTAGGTATATTAGTTTAATATAATAAATTTCGGTGCATACATTTGGGTACATACATTTCGGTACACACATTTAGGTATATTAGTTTAATATAATACATTTCGGTGCATACATTTGGGTATATATACATTTCGGTACATTAATTGAGTTTTTCAAGTTTGAAGAATGTTATATCAAATTAATAAATTAAAAAAAAACTTTTGTTTGGTCAAAAAATAAATTAAAATGTGTATATTAATAAATTCAAATATTTAATGGGAGACATTGAATGATATACAATGTGGTGGACTGCTTTAGTGCTAGCATCTATCACATGGAAATAAGCATGCACCAGCGCGAGGAAGGTATTAGTTGATCCACAAAAGCATCAAGGCATAGTCATTCTTTGAACCTTCTTCCTCGAGTGAGACAGACGAGATTGAAGAAGGAGTTGAAGGAGTTTCCGCTCCTATACCAATTCTGAATGGCGGTACTACTTTCTAAAGTTGAGTTTTTGCAGTACGGCAGGCATTAAAACATGAGTTTCTTGCTTTTCTATCTCTCTCTCTCTCCCCTCCAAGACTTGGATTTCTTGAAGTTTGTTGCAGAGGCGGTTGACTGTTACAAGCTCTGTCTTTGAGAACCCTACACCAGTTGAGATCCTTTCGTGCCCATGGCATACCGACAGCCATTAGCAACTTTGTGACGGGGGTGACTATGGCATGGATTAACTTTAAGTTGTTGAAGCATTCATTTTAGCCACTTAGTACTACAGTCTAGTAGTATTCCTCTTCACTTATAAGTGAGAGGTCTTAGGTTCAATTCTCGTCGAATGTGAATTTAAACCACATTATTGCTAACTCATTGTGAGGCTAAGTCCGCACCCATTCCCTTAGGGGGGTGTTAAGAGATTTTAATGGATTTATAAATCCATGGATTTTATGGAGTTTAATTGATTTGTAAAGATTCTATATAAATTTTTTATTCAATTTTCTCGAAATCTCATGGGGAGAGGTGAGATTTGTGGATGCTTAAATACACTATGAAATCTCTCCAATTCCCTCTAATTCCTCAACTTTCTCAAATTGTTTAAAATCAATTTCTAATTGAATACACTTGAAATGTTATAAACTTCTTTAAAATCGTAATTGACTACACCTGGGTTTCTAAGGATTATAATAAACTATCTTAAATTTCTAATTGAACACACATTGAATTTCAGAGAATCACTTAAAATCCTGATTGAATGCCTCTAGATTCATTACAAGAATTAAAATCCCTCAAAATCCTAATTGAATACACCTCCTTAGTGTAGATAATATCGTTTGTTTAAAAAACACCAACTCCTCTTCCATGCTTTTGCTGCACAAAGAATTTGAAGCCATGGTTCACCAGCCTCCAAGTAAATTACTGTTCCCCTCATTCCATTCATGGTAAAAAAAAATTAATTCTCAAACTGTATATTTATTTAGAAGTCGGTTTATAACCATTTAGTATTTAGTTTTATTTTTTATTTTTTAACAAACGGTATTTTCTACTCTAAGGGTGGGGTAGTGGACTAAGTATTACAAAAGATTAGTAATAATATGGTTCAAGTTTCTCTTTGACGAGAATCAAATCTTAAGACCTTTTACTTACACGTGAAGAGAAATACCACTATATCATAGTACTAAGTTGCAGTTTTCATTTGTTTGGAAAATTAAAAATTTATTTGGTAACTATTTTCAATTTTTTGAAAAACAAAACTGAAAATTAGTATGTAATAATACTATTATATATTCATTTAATACACTAATTTCAACGGTTTTGAGTTTTTGTGGTGCCCAAAGCGAGCACTTAAATGTGTCCTTTTTTCAATAAACGAACATATTAAAAAAAATGTATATATATTATCATCCCAACTCTTTGTACCTGGACTAGATAACAATTTTTTTTTATTTTTATTTTTTGGGTTTTTGGTGGGGTGGGGGTGGGTGGGGTGTGGAATTACCTATCAATTAAAGCAAGTTCAATAGAGTCCCCGCACAAGGAGTCCCCAAACTCATACTTTAAGCTTGAGGCTTGGTCTTAGAATTGAAACTTTTTCAATGAATGACTCTTTCATCTCGGTATCGAAGGAGAGCCAAGCCGAAGGGTAAAAAGCCGAAGACAGCTAGAAGTTGCAGTCTTGCTATGCTATCCTTGATTTGTCAAATATAATTTCCTTTGTGTAACAAAATTAAGGTGAAAAAAAATGAGAAATTTGAAATAGAAAAGAGGGTGGAACCGTGGAGGCGCTGCGACCTGAGAGAAAGAGTATCGAACGGCAGAACGGCGATCGGTGTAGCCGTGTAGGTATATGTCACTGTGAGTTTATGATTATGGTCCCTATAATTTGTCGGACTCTGACGGATGTTGTTGATGCGGGACGGTTGGGTATGGGTTTTGCCGTCTTGGCAACGGGGTCTGTGACTCTCTGGTCACGAAGAAACGAAGACGATTTAGACTTGGAAGACGAAGAGAAAAACGAGGGTGAACTGGCGAAGACACGGGGCGCAGCCCAGGGGCACTGTAGCAATTTAAATTTAACTTTTTTATTTTTAATATACCTATATTCTGAAGGAAAACTAATGATAAGGGTTTGAAAATTTTGAATGTTAACAAAAAACCATGTACTAACTTTATTTAATGGTTAGGACAAAACCCAATATTAAACTTACCCAGTTAAAATGGTCCAAACTATAAATTTCCGATTTTGCCCCGACGGCAAGTCTTTGTTCGTTTATCCTCTCTTCCTTTCTTCTCTCTGCTATTCCCTGCCTCCATAACCTCAAATTCCTCATCTCCTTTCATCACCAACCGGAGCTGCAGAGAGAGAGAGAGAGAGAGAGAGAGAGAGAGACAACTAGAGCAGCGAATATGATGACCATCCTTTCCTCTGAGACCATGGACATCCCCGACGGTGTCAAGATCAAGGTCCATGCCAAGATCATCAAGGTCCTCATGGGAATACGACTAGAAAGTGGAAGTTGAAGGTCAAGGCCTAGTTCGACTCCCTCAAAATCAGCCCCACCGTCCGCACCGCTCTCTCCCACATCGGAAATCTCATCACCGACATCACCAAGGGGTATCGCTACAAGATGCGTTTGTGTATGCTAATTTTTCCATCAATGCCTCCATCACTAATGAGGCCAAGTTGACCGACACACGTAACTTTTTGGAAGAAGGTGAGTAAGGTGGATATGATGATGTTTCTATCACCCAATGTGAAAAGGTCAAGGATAACCCCATCTTGGATGGAAATGAATTTTTCTCAATCTTGTGCCCTGATCAACCAGAAATGCCATCTTGTATATCAGGAAGTTTCTTGATGGTATCTATGTGAGAGTGAGGGGAATCATTGTTGCAGAGGAATGAAGGGTGTTTGTTTTTGTGTTCTTTCTGAATGTAGTTTAATTTCTTCATGGGATTGGCTAGTTATTCCTTTTGTTGGAGAGTTCCTGTGGAAGAAGATATATCAAGGGGCAGATGCGGGCTGCAGGTTCTGTTGAATGTTTGATTTTGTTGCTATTTTTGGTAAGAAATTAGAGAGAAAAATATTAAATATCTGTCATGGTTGATATATTTGATTCATTTCATAGAGGAATAATGGAGAAATTGATGGATTTAAGTACTTGAGGGAGAGCTGCCCTTTTGTAATCACTAAGCTACTACGTTACGTTGCAAGTATGGGTGAGCATTCTTTTGTTACTTCTGGGTACGAGGAAGCATTGATTGGAATGAAAGGCAGATTTAAGGCAAAGTTGTATTGATTTGGAAAATAAGCCATTAGAATGCTAAAATAAAAATGAGAGTTTGGTTCGTTTAATTTTTTGTTTGTTTGTAATATCTCATGTTCTCAAGGATTTGTTTTGTGATGTAGTTTATAAACCTTTGATGATGGATGGCTATTATATGTGTGCATTTGGGGTGCTGTGTCGTGTGTTTGTGAATGAAAATAATAAATTTGTAAATGAAAATTTATGTGGTGTATTTGGAGGTGTTTTAAAATTGTGTTTTTGTTTCATGCATAACAAAAAAATCGTTGTTTAGTTTAAGAAATAGTGATATACTCATGTCCAATTCTATAAATAGTTAATGTTCAATTTTAGAAATAGTTAGTGTTCAATTTCAGCAATAGTACTCGCGTTCAATTTCATAAATAGTAATTGTATTCAGTTTCATAAATAATGATAATATCCATTTTCAATTTAAGAAATAATTAGTGTTAAGTTTAAGAAATAGTGATAATAGCAGTGTTCAGTTTAAGAAATAGTGACAACACA